CTATTGAAAAGTTAAATTAGGATATTGAGTAATGAAAAATTAAAATATTAACGTTAAAATGATGTGAAAACAAATTTCCTGTCCAAAACCAATATTTTTAATAATTTTAATTAAACACTACATTTTTGCATTAACGAAATAATAAATATTAGTTACTTTATGTTTTATAATTATAACAAAAAATAAAAAAAGTTAGGTTATAGATTTTTCCTATGTGCAATAAAGAAAAAGAAAATTCATATTTTTAACAAAATAATTTTATGCCTTTTATTTAATTTACTATGTATTTAACAAGACTATTGCATTTTTATTAAAAAAATTTGATCAAAACAGGCGAGAAACGAAACTGCAGCCCACCTTTACTCCCGGGTGAGAGGCCCACCACCCGGGAGTAAAGGTGGGCTGCAGTTTCGTGGCCCGCCAAAAAAACCTTTGCTCCCGGTGCGTGTTACCAATCGGGAGTAAAGGTATATCTTTACTCCCGGTTGGTAACACGCACCGGGAGTAAAGGTCTTTTTGTCCCGGCTGGTGGCTGGCACTGGGAGTAAATCTCCCTGGTATATAAGCGCCAGTGCCTGGTGCAGATCGATCCCCTCCTCTTCTTCCTCGTCGAATACCGCCGCCCTTTCTCTCTTCTTCCTCGCGTCGCCGCCGATTCGTCTTCCCTTGCCGGCGCTGCCGCACGCCTGTCGCTGCCGCACGTCGGTCGCCACCCCGCCTTGAACACCGACGCTGTCGCACACCGGTCGCCACCCCGCCCAACGCCGGTCGCCCGACCCCCACGCATCAGCCCGCCGCCGCGACACCGGAGCCCGCGCCTCGCCTCGCGCGGCCACCGACGCCTCTTCGGCCGCCCCCAACACCGGAGAGCCGGCCAGCCCGCGACACCGGAGCCCGCCCCGCCTCGCCTCGCGTAGTACCCCGGCTAGCCGGCCGCCTCGCCTCAGTCGCCTCACGCGCGCGGCCATCGACGCTGCGCCGCCGGTCTTCCTCATCACCGCGCCCCTAACACCGGCCCACCTCACATCGTCGTCATCAGCAGACACCGCAGTGTGCGTGCCCCTGACGCCAGTCGCCACCGCGCCGACACGGCCCGGCCCGCTCTGCTACGTCGACCACCGCCCCGGCCCACTCTGCGCCGACGTCGAGACCACGCCGCTCGTCTTGCCATATGTCCTTGTCCTTGATCGCGATCCATATGTTTTCGTCATTTGTATTCATATACATGTATATATACGTCGCGGAGCACCGCCGCCCTCGTTCGCCCATGCGTTTCTATGTATACGGCAGAGCACCGCCGCCCTTGTTCGCCCTAGGGTTTAGGGTTTATACGGCGGAGCACCGCCGCCCTCGTTCACCCATGTGTACAAACATATATATGGCAGAGCGGAGCACCGCCACTCTCATCACACCGCCATATCTCGCGGCCTAGTCGATCAACATTCGTATTATCGTTATCGTTAACGCTAAACTATCACACTTGGGCGAATTGTGTTGGTGACTAGGGCGAACCGCGTTGTTGATGTCACCGACGAGGTTCGCCCTAGTCATCGACGCAATTCGCCCTCGGCCGTTTATGTATAGCCCTAATTCGCCCTAGTACCGACGCAGTTCGCCCTAGTGTGGCGAATTGCATCCGTGACCGAGGGGCAAGATTTAATAATGCATATTGTTCGTAGATTTTACGCATGTAAGCAAAGATTTGATGTACTATATATTGGTTTTGTTTTTTGAAGCTAGATGGCCGACCGAGAAACATGGATGAGGAGGAGTTGATGATGAGTTTGATCAACACTTTGGCACTCAAGTTGCGGCAATGATGGTGCTAAAAATAACATGCAAGAGGATGCGAGATGGCGGAGTCGATGCTTAGCTCTTGAACAAAATGAGCAATAAGATATTGGCCAAGTATATATTTTTATTATTATTAGCTATATATATTATCATATGTCTTATGTGTGCTCATGACATTAAAAATAATGTTTATGTTTTGTAGCCCTCTGGATCGACATCAACAACTACAGCGAAGAGTAAAAATGTTCGAGGTCCCAAAAAGCCATTGGAGGGCCGCTTCATCATCTCGAGTTCAATGTGGATCAAAGTGAACCGGGGCCAAATAAAATGAAATTCATGCACCACTGTGGTTACTTTGTAAGGGACCGGCTCCCGATCAGTACCCACGAATGGAAGAAGAAGACCAATGCTCCTCATATCAGTTTTGTCTCCGATCGTGACAAGACGTTAATTTGGAATGATGTCTTGGAACATTTCACGCTCCAAGCAGATGGTTATGATGATATAATAGATGGTGATGAATTGAAGGAGCGAGTTAGGGATTGGGCAATAAAGAAGATGGCCACCCAGTTTTGAGACTTGGAAGAAACACCTATACACGATGTATGTCAAGAAGAACATAGCACCAGATTTTTGTCCCGGACCCGATCTCAAAGCAGAGGCCCTATTGGGATGAGTTTGTACAAAGATACACGGCGTCGGAAGAGGGTGTGAGTCGGGTGATAAAGAACCAACGTAATGCCCAATGAAGACATACCACCATAACTTGGGATCGGTGGCTACCACACGCCATTAAGAAGTGTAACAAAATGGAAGCGCAGACCTTCTTGCCAAGGGTATCACACGAGAATCACTTTCGAGTGGGGAGAGCGTGCAAAGAATTGGTTTTTCGCTCATGGAGGAACACCGGGAGGCGAGGAAGTGTGTTTATGGCGCAAGAGGCGCAAGAAGCATCAAAAAGATTGTTTTATGCTCAGAGAGCTACTGCTAGTGGTGCGTTCAGGCCCAACAGAGAGAAGGATGAACTGACATATGCCATCAGGACTATTGAACATGGTGGCCGAACTAGAGGCAAAGGAAGTGTCTCGTGGGAGCATGGATTCCCTTAGGACAGACCTTCCTACAGAAGCCGCCAGAGAAAGAAGAAAGAAGAGGCACAGCGGCTCCAGAGGTTGAAGGAAGCGGTGCGTGAAGCACAGGAGCGGGAAAAAAACCTTGAAGCAAGAATGCAGGAGGAAATCAGAAGGCAAGTGCAAATAGCAGTGAGTGCAAGCAAGCAGGCATCAGAGCCAGGAAGCAAGCAGGCATCAGTGAGTGCTTAGTCGAAAAGCAGCTACGCTTCCAAGGAGGTACCAAATCAAGGGGACACAGGACTGCGCTTCCCTGTGGATGACGTCACTGAACCTTGTACATCGTGTGAGCTACACATTCTGAAGAGGAATTCCACAATCAAGGTGGCTATCGGTCTTGTTAATCCTATCGACCGAACCAAGACACCAAGGATTCATGGGAATATAATCCAAGAAGGATATGCTACCATCTCGGTAGATAAAGCTAAAAAAGGTTTTAGTGATTTGCCTCTTGACATTCCTAGAGGTGATGGCGAGAAGACTCTAGGAGAAGCAGAGAAGACATTCATTCTATGGCGCAAGCGCTACATCATCATTCCCGGGATGTCGCCTCCACGTCCTCCTGAACTACCTCACCATAGGTGCGGATGAAAACACTACATCATTAATTTATATTGGCTTAAATAATTAACAATCTGCTCATAATAATATGTCATTCCTTTTTTGTAGCAGATCCTCTCCCAACCTAAGTCTAATTGTTCAATCGTCAGATCATCATAGTGCTCTGTACGATGACAATGTGTTGGAAGGCGAGGCTGCATCCACACCATCTCCAAGGAGGTCTCCAATGCCACAGCCGCCACCTCCAAGGAGGTCTCCAACGCCGCTGCCGCCACCTCCAAGGAGGTCTCCAACGCCTCCCCTGCCCCCACCTACCAAGAAGCCAAGTACTAGCAAGAGAAAGCCCCCGCCGGCAAAGAAAGCCACCGTGAAACCAAAGGCTATTCCCAAAATAATATCTGAAGAGAAGGAAGAAGTAACTGATGCATATAAAAAAGATATGTCCAGATTCTATGACAAACTTAAAAAGGATCAAGAAGCAAGGAGAAACCCGGAGAAACCGTACTTCTTCGTAGCTCCAGATATTCTAAGAAAAAAGGTGTCTTCTTACCAGCAACAACAGCGGGAATCTCGTAAGCCGTCCAAAGCAACGTTAACGGACTATGACCGCACTCTCACCAAGTCAATTGAGACGGCACAGAAAAAGAAGCGAGCAGGGAAAGGAGTTGCATAACTCAGACAACAATCGCACCAATCAGTCCTCCCGCTAGTTGTTGGTAATGAATATGGTTCGAATTTAGGATTAATGCATCAGGCAAACATACCTCCGGATGTCGATTTGGATCACCTTGGTGAATTTATTGAAGAGACTGGTCTCGACCTTTACCATATGTTTGGTGATGGAAACATTAAGAGTGCAGCGGAGGTTGATATTTGAAAGAAAAAATTTGTACTAGGCCAGAGTCTATACAACCCTCAAGCCTTATGTGATCTGGGGACGCAAATGTACCTGCTAAACAAGTGGTACATGCAGGCGTCTACCGGTGGAGACTTCTGCATTGGTGTCAGAATTAGAGACGAACATTGATTCCGTGGCGATGATGTTATGTATGTTGACTTTGCAGAATTTCATCAACTATGCCACCTGACCTCTCTGGACAAAGTTATTATTAGCTGCTATTGCCTGTAAGTAATAATTCTTTCGATCTATTATTAAACTCATCATATGTGTGTATATGCATATAAATTATCCTAACAAGTACTATATATATGCAGATTTACAATGACAAAGCGCAGAAAGAAAAGGCTGCAATGAAATTGGTTTTGTTGATCCCCATATAGTATTCAAAGACCCAGTTACTCCAAAGCCTAATTGGAAGTCTGAGTCAGAGAGTAACCTCATGAACTTATTAGTGAACCAACGCCACAAGAAGGATATACTCTTCCCCTACAACTTCAAGTGAGTGTTAATAATGTCGATCATCCTTAATGGCTTATATGTTGATTCTAGTTAATGAATTCTCATCAAGTTTGGAGGACATCAGATAGAGTTGAGTGAGATTGTTAAGGTGCAACCAAGATGACAGAATATGAGGCATTCGTTTCTTTTTGAGCTTCCCTGTCAGTCCAAGTTTACAAAGACTTTCTGGTAAACAGAGTTCTTCCAGTGGCAATACCTCATTTGTATCTGACATACTAGTAATTGACAAACTGACAAGATTTCTCATCTTCAGAAGAGCATTCCTCAAGATTAATGAGTGTTCACTTGTAACATCGTCAACTGAAAATGTCTGTAACTCTGTCAAAGCTGCAACATCACATAGAGTCTCTGAGGTAGCTTTAACATTTTGCAGAGCATGCAGTCCTGTCAAGTTCTTTATGCCCCTAGGCATCTTCACTCCACGATTACGCGAGAAAGATCCTTCAGTGACCTTTACAGTTGCATATAGGTATCTAAGCTTTACCAGTTTAGCTACATCATTTGGTAAAGATAGCAGACAAGTAAACCATGTATCCAGTACTTCTAAGTTTGCTAATCTTCCAATGGCCTCTGGCAGAACCTCAATTTTGGTATTTCTAAGGCCCAAGAAACGCAGATTAAACAAGCTAAAGATCTCATTAGGCAGCACCTTGATTTCAGTACCTTGCAGATCCAGTGTTGACAACAAAACTGAAGATGAAAGGATTGGCCTGAGCCGATCAATATCAACAAACCTTGTAAAAACATGTATTTGGCGAAGATGTGTCGCACCGGATAGATTTAACAGTTCAATATTGGTGCTCTGTATTGACAGTCTACGTGTTCGGTGTACCAAAAAAGTCTCATTGCCCTCATAAACTTTACCAAAGCATTCTTTCTCAGCTTTTTCAATGGCAATATGGCGGATGACGTCATGCATTCGGCAACATTTTACTCGTCCAAACTCATTGTTCATCACAACTTGCAGTAGGCTTCGGTTCACAAGATCATTCAAGTAGCCCTCTGCCACTTGTTCTAGTGTTTTATTTTCCTTTTTCTTGATGAATCCAGAAGTAATCCAATGCCTAATTAACCTCCTCCTCTTCAATTCATAATCCTCAGGAAATAGTGCACAATGCAAGAAACAATTCTTCAGATCATATTGAAGATCCTCCAAGCTGACTTTCAGAATTGTTTCAACACCAGGGATTGTGTTTCTAACCGACTGCAACTCTAACTCGTCGAACAAAATTTTCCATTCAGTGTATGTTGGGGGTTTACAGGATAGTAGTCGGCCTAAGCATGCAATCGCAATAGGCAAACCTTCACACTTTTGTAAGAACTTTGTGACCAAATCCGATAACTCTGGAGGACACCTTTTATCATCATTATCCCAAAAGGCTAACTTGCAAAATAACATATAAGAGTGATGGTCTTGTAGCGGTTCCAGTTTCATTGCACAGTTACTACTTGCCAAAGATGCAACTTCAGATAATCTTGATGTGAGAACAAATCTTCTAGTACAATTAGCAGGAAAAACAGGCATGATATTGTTTATCCACACCTCTTTTTCCCAAACATCATCCAATACCAAGATAAACCTTTTACCTTCAAGATGTCTACGGATGGCGTCAACTAATCTTCTCATATCCATAATGCTAGAATTGACTGGCACGCGGAACTCTGTAGCAATTTTCTTCAGCAAGTCCTCAACTTTATAACTTTTGGACACAGTTACCCATGCAGAAGCATCAAAATCTAATTTCACACTCTTATAGACATGGTCAACTAAAGTAGTTTTGCCTACTCCACCCATCCCCCAAACTGTGGTGATTTTGGTGTTCCTTTGTTTCAAATCATCAACTAGCCACCCCTTGAGCTTGGCTCCATCATCTTCAATACCCACTAGTTCCTCTTCCCTTGCAAAACACGAAGCTTGATTGGTATCTTCCCTTGCAAAATGATGGGCGTTTCCAGTTCCAGTATTAGGGATTACATAACGGTCCCTCCTTTTCACAGTGTCTTCAAGCTCGATATTGATATCACGAAGTTGGAGAGATAGGCGGCGCCAAACCTTGACTTGTTTTATCTTCTTCTTTATCCTGGCTGCAAATCCTCCATGTTTGTTGCCCTCAAGCTTGTACATGAACTCGTCAACAACATCCTCTATCCGGAAAGATAGTTCCCGAATAGTCTTGATAAAGATGCCCATGGTCTCATCAGTATCCATGAACTTCTCTGACTCACGCAAGTAGGCCTTCATGCTCTCCAACTCCCTCTCAGCTCTGCGGATCTCGCCAAAAAGATCCTTGAGGGCAGAAGTATTAAGCAGTGCTGCACCATAGGTTGCTGCTTCTTTTGCCAAGGCTGCACCTAGCTTGCCAATCAGTGCCCCGACAACAGCCTCAGCCATGGTGGCTGCGTTGCGTGCGCTTGCTTGAGTTCTTAGAGTGACAAAGTGTAAGCAAGACCGTGACCACCAAAGCTAAACCTGACAAATCAATTAAATTTTCAGAGTTTGTTTCAGGTTATCAATGGAAACTTTATTTGGAACCAACATTGAACAAACCGTGAGCTGCAAGGGGGTACCTGAACATTGGGTAAGCTAGAATACAAGCATGTAGTGCGGATCTGGCCTTGCTCTAGCCACTGTCAACCTCGTCGTCAGAGTTGGAGGAGTTGCATTCTGTGAGCAACGATGCTGCAAGGCCCAAGAACAGTGACCAACGAATCAACTACCAACAAGGGATATGGTTCTTGCAGCTTCGTGGAAGGAAGGACGTGCAAATAAAGAAATATATAATGCACTGTATCTGACTTTGAGTCTTTGACAAAGCAAAGTCATAGATGAAGATTGCTGACTTCACGAGCCCCAAGTTGATCGTCGCGTTGTGCCAGCTGGACTCCGCGTTGTGCTAGCTGGACTCCACCTTGCTTGCTGCATACTCTCTCCAGGATAGTAAAAGAAGTCGCTTTGGACAAGGTTTGATTCAAACATTAGGAATATAAATCATAAATAACTTTTAAGTTGTTGAGTTTGAAAATCTGAAAACCATATGATTAGATTTTTCTTGAAATGTACTTTCATAAAAATATACATATACCCCTTTTAAATAAGTGAAATTTTACCGTGCTTGAAAAAAATTAGAGCCATCCATTTGGATATATCAGAGATGGCTATAAAATAAGAAAAATCAAGATAGAGGAACTTAAGTTGTGGTCCGGAAAAAAAATATGGGTCCAGAGTCAAAAATATATGAGCAAAGACTTATTTCCAAAATAAATTTAAAAGATAGAATAGTACTTTCGCGTAGCCGCCTGTGCAAGCTCTCGTCCCTTCTTTCATGTCCGAGCGTGGGCGGCGCGACTCGCAAGGCTGGCGCCGAGTCTCCCTGGTGGATGGGCCCCGCAACTTGCTCCCTCTCCTAACACGGCATCTGGGGATTCTTGGCGGCCGCCGCGACGAGCATTATCCTGTTCGCTTGCTCGTAAACGATCGTAAATTTCCAGCCGGGAGCAGTGTTTTTCTCTCACACCAAACTAGCCAGCAGTAAATAATCTCCAACCCACATGATCGCCGTACCGCAGATCGCCATCGATAAAGATGCTGGTACAGATCCAATGCTTCGTGATGGATCGGTACTCCAAGTATCTGACAGCTTGAGAATTGCAAAACTCGTGCATCTGTGCATCAGTGAATGCCATGCGACAGTTCAAAACGGCTGTCGCCATGCTCCGGAGGTCTGAGGCTCTGAGCACAGCAGTGCCTGGCACCATGAACATGAGCACCAGTAGCAACGCCAACACCGGCGTCGTCGCAAGGCAAGACCCACGAGCCATATATGGGACGACAGCGAGGGCGGTCGACAAGCTCGACGCCGACTCTCCAAGGTGCTGACCAGTGACCAAGATCCACCGGTTCCCCGAGGGCCTGCGAGGGATCAGCAGCGGCGGCGGCGACAGCGGACGCTACGTCGTTCCGAGCGTGGTGGCGATCGGCCCCTGCTACCGGGGCTGGCCGCACCTGCAAAAGATGGAGGAGGTATACGAGAAGGTGCTCTCCGTCGTGAGCGATGCGCGCGGCAGCTATGACGCCGAGTTCGCAGAGATGATGTTCCTGGACGGCTGCTTCCTGCTGCAGTACATGATGGGCGACACAACGCCGGTGCTGCGCAACCAGATGATGCTGTCCACGGGGCCTAGCCAGTCCCGTTCGTGGGATTGGGGTAGGGAATTAAGAGGTTGTGTACAGGAGAAAATAAGTACTAAACTGTTCTTAAATATAATTAATTAATTTTTTTAATTAATAGCCACGGTAAATAATTTCCAAGGGAGTTCTTCCCGAGCACCGTAACAAAGCTCTTTCAATAAATATTCTTATAAAAATAAAAAATCAAAGTTATACTTTGAAGACCTTATCACTATCCAAAACGACTTTTTTTACCAACCTGGAGGGGTAGCTTATTACTGTGACCGATTGAAGTTGGTACCATACATCCCTGGTCCATAACATGTTGAACTCTAGAAAACAACTGGGCGTAACCGCGGCATTATCCGTTTTTTTATAATGGAAAAATATCAGGCTTCATCTTATAAAAAGAAGAATAAGATCATCTCATTACAAGACTCACATCATAATGACCCGGAGTTTGCATAACAAAAAGTCAACTCATAACTCAATTCTTGGCATAAAAGGCCATCCAAATAACGCGAAGAAACACATACACATTCCTTAGCATGCGGCACGCCTGTAATACCATTTTACTTTGCTCCTCGGATAGTTGCAATTGGGCCCAAGATTGAAGCCAATCTGTTCCCTTGAAGAGGACATGCATAAGAGCATTTGGTCGACATTCGTCAAATAAAACTTTGTTCCTAGTTAGCCAAATAGACCAACAAATTGTGGACGCTCTTGTCAATAAAATGGATCAAAAAGATTTACCCTTGGTGGGATACTTATTATCAAAACAGTTTTGGACATTCAGAGGTGGACTAAGACCTAGCACCAATATGAAAGCCCCCTTTTGCACGGCTCATCCAAAACGGCTTCACCGGTGAAGCCAAAGCCGGTGAAGCCAGAAAAATTGGCTTTTCCTGGCTTCTAGTTCATTTTTAACCCCGGCTTACAAAACGGCTTCACGCTACAGTGCCTCGATTTGCGCAAAATAGATGAAACCGAAGCCGGCATAAGCCGTGCCAAAGAGGCCCGAACTATATCCACAGGAGCTTACCATAAGTGCACTCAAAGAAGAGGTGGTGGATGGTTTTTGGCTTTACTACAAAAGCAGCAAGTCATGTCACTGTTCCAACACACTTGCCGAGCTTGTCCATGGGCCATGGGGTCCAATAGTGACCGGTCATGGGCAAGTTGGGACTCCTCACCCTTGGATCAAGGGTAGGGAGTGTTGTCCTTGTCCGAACAGAGACATTAGGGAGGGGAAGAAGATGAGGGAGATCAAGGGACGACATGTGGGTGCGCGCATATATAGAAGAGAGTGGGGAAGGAGATGAGGGAGAGACGACATATGGTCCCCACATGCCCGGTGCACAATTAGCAGCCACGTAGACAACTTATCGTAAACAATTGTAATTTGGACCTCCTATGGCCCGTTTAGCAAGTTTGGAGATCTAAACTACAGTTTTGGAAGTTAGGGACCTCAGTGGCACTGTCGTGCGAGTTTAGATATCTACTACGACCTGTTTAGCAAGTTTGAGTATCTAGATATGCAATGTTGTAAGTTTAGGATCTAGGTGGCAAAGCCGTGCAAATTTAGATACTAGTCCAAACATGTGAGACCCACATGAGCGTTAATTAAGTCAGCATATCACGTCAGCGTATGGAGCGGGTTAAAACTCGTTTGGACCCATGCTAAAGGCCAGGACAAGTTTAGGGACCTAGAAATAAAAAAAATTTGGGACCTATATAGATAACACTGCATCCAAAGTTTAGAGACCGCCAGCATACTTTACTCTTATACTTTTCTGAATTTTTAAATTATCTCGGATGGAAACTGTAACACCCTAAAATTTGTACTTTTGAAAATAGGATTAAAATGATTTATTTATGAATTTTTGTGCTCATGAAATATAGGAAATTTTTCGCTAAATTAAAATTTATTATAGGGTGTAGCAACATTGTTGAGCATACATGCCTCTGCATTGATTTATTGAGATGTGTGGCTTTGTACAAAATTCAAAAAAATGATTCAAATTGCTTTGAATGGATTTGAAAAGGTTTTGAAATAAAGGAAAAACAAAAGGAAATGGAGAAAGCTTCTCCCTCTCATAATTCTGGCCCGCTCGGCCCTGCTCTCCCCGCGGCCCAGCGCGCTCGCGCTCCATCTCTCTCAGGCCGGCTCAGCAAATCGCGGGCATTGCTCCCCTCTCCTCCTTCGCCTCACGCGGCCCAACCAGGGCCAAGCCGCACTGGCCCAGCAGCCACGCCGCTCGCGCTTTCCCTTTCTCCTCAATTCCTCTGACTGCCCAGCCCCGCGCTCCATGCCACTGCCACCTCGGGCCCACATGTCAGCACCGTCTCCCTCCTTCAGCTCGTCTCCGCGATGGACACAGTCACCAAGGAGACCGCGCCGCTCACGCCTCCTCCCATTGCCTTGCGTCCCAAGTCACTTCCGGACATAAATATTGAAGACCGCCGCCTCCATCTCGAATGCTCACAGTTGGTCTACGCTTGTGGCTTCATTCCAAAACCTATTTCACCAATCAGCTGAACTTTCTCAGGTAGCTTTCTTTCAACTAAAGAGAATTCAAACTTCCAAATCACGAAATTGAAATTTTGAGAACTGATGAAATTGGTTACCTGGATAGGGGAAGCAAAGAACCATGCACCGCGCAGAAGCCTTGTTGAAGTCATAGACTACATCCACCAGCATCGGAATTTTCAGCGGTCAAGAAATGCAGAGAAAGTTGAATAGGTCATGCAGTTTCCGAGAAGCAAGTAGACGAGGTCTGTTTGGAACCATAATTAGCGGCCCGGTTTGACCAGTTGAAACTTCTAATTAGGTTAGGTTACATGATGAGCCGAATCAAACTGGCATCATCAGTTTAGGTAGATGTCGCTGCCAAAAGAAATAACATAATGTCCAGTTCGAAAATCATGTTGCAGCAGTGGTGGCGTCTCATGAATGGCCAAACTAAAAAAGAATAGGAGAAGTCGGTGTTTGATTAAGTGAGTAATGTGTAGATTATACTACTACCGATGACAATAGTAACAACACCATATTTTTTCTAGTTGATTTATTGACCTGTCATCTCATTTGAAAAGCAGAGAAATTAAAGAGAAGATTCCCTGCAGAGCCGGCCCTAACAAACCGAGGTCACGAAGCCGGCCGGCTAACTCGATATCCGTTGCTATAGGCACGGTTTTTTTAGATAAAGGATATAAAATCCAGCCTT